CAGCAGGAGGACTATCTCCTGCTGCAGCAGCAGCAGAATCTCCTGCAGCAGGAACACTATCTCCTACACCAGCAGCAGCAGCAGCAGAATCTCCTGCAGCAGCAGCAGGAGCAGCAGTGTCTCCACTACCATCAGCAGCACGATCGCCAGCAGCAGAGTCTCCACTACCAACATCACGAGGAAGCTTAGCAGCAGCAGCAGCAACAGCAGCAGCAGCAGCAGCAGCTGACGAGAGGTTATTGGAGTCTAGGGTGTCCTCCCCTCAGCCGTCAGTAAATGATGAGGCATCTGCTGCTTCTCCTGCTGCTGCTTCTCCTGCTGCTGCTGCTGGTGAACGTGCTGCCCCTAGCAGCGCCGCAGCATCACCGCAGCAAGAGCAGCAGCAACAGCAGCAACAGCAGCAGCAGCAGCAGCAGCTCCAGCGGCCTGAAACTCTGGCTTGGCTGTTCGCGAGGACCCCAGGCCGGCGGCCGCATGCAGCAATGCAGCTCCACAATGAACAATCTGCTGCTGCTGCTGCTGCTGCTGCAGCAGCAGCAGCAGCAGAACAGACGGATGACTCGGAGGAGTTAACTCCTGTTGGTAGCCCAGGGATTGAGGGAAGAGCGCAGCAGCCGCCTGCCTTCGCCAGTGGGTCTCTTAGCAGCAGCAGCAGCAGCAGCAGCGGCTGCAGCAGCAGCAGCGGCTGCAACGGGGTGATTAGAGAGGGTTTGCATCAAGGAAGCAGTGATGAATGTAGGAGTCCAGCAACAGCAGCAGCAAGTGCAAGTGCAGCAGTAGCTGCAGCAGCAGCAGCAGCAGCATCAGCAGCAGCAGCAGCTGCTGCAGCAGCAAGTGCTGGAATAGGTGTAAAGGGTGATGGAAAGCAGCTCCTTTCTCCTACATTGACAGCAGATAACAGTGCAGCAGCAGCAGCAGCAAGCGCAGCAGCAGCAGCAGCAGCAAGTGCATCAGCAGCAAGCTGCAGGACCAGCAGCAGCGGCAATGAGTCCGACAGTTCCTCTAGGGGAGCAGAAGACAGCCCGTTGTCTGACTGCAGCAGCAACACAACAGCAGCAGCAGCAACAGCAGCAGCAAGAGGAGAAACAAAGGATCAAGGGGCTGAGTGGCTGCTGCTGCTGCAGCAGCAGCAGCAGAGGAGGAAGGGCAGCAGGAGCCGCAGCAGCAGCAGAGAACGATTACCTTCTTATCCTTATATTGCATGCAAGAAGATGTATGCCCCCCGTACAAGACGGAGGCCGCTGCTGCTGCAGCAGGGGCCCCGTCGTGGCTCTGCTGCTGCTGCTGCTGCTGCTGCTGCTGGAGCGCATGCACTGTCAGCCCCACCAGCAGGAGCAGTAAGAAGGATGAGAGCAGCAGCAGCACACCATCAAATAATGTTTAAGAATCATTTAGCCCACAAGCAGCAGCAGCAGCAACTGCTGCAGCAGCAGCAGCAGCAACTGCAGCATCAATACCAAATGCTTAAACTGCAGCGGCAGCAACGTAAACAAATAAATCAGCAGCAGCCGCAGCAGCAAGAAGAGCAGCAGCAGCAGCAGCAAGAACAGCAGCAGCTGCAACAACAGCACGTGGTGCCTAGGCTGCAGCTGCCGCTGCAGCAGGAGGGGCAGCAACAGCAACAGCAGCAACTCCAGCAGCAGCAACCGCGGCAGCAGGAGCAGCAGCAGTTGCTGAAGCAACAACAGGAACCGCAGCTGAATCAACAGCAGCAGGAAGCTCCTCAGCAGCAACAGCAGCAGGCACAGCAGCAGGAGCTGCAGCAGCAAGAGCAGCAAAAGCTGCACGAGCCGCAAGAGCAGCAGCTGCTGCAAAAACATCAACAACAGCAGCAGCAAGACCAGCAACAGCATCAACAACAAGAACAACAACAACAACAACAGCAGCAGCAACAGCTGCAAGAGCAGCAACAGCAGCAGCAGCAGCAGCAGCAGCAGATTGAGACCCCGATAGTGCAGCACGGCGAATAGCCGCAGCACTTTTCTTTTGTTTTACAGTTGAATTATTCAGCTGTCTAGTAGAAACATTGTTGGCTAGCTAGTCAGCTAGCCACGCCGCTAGATAGCTAGCTAGCCAGGCAGCTAGCCAGGCAGCTAGCTCGATAGCTAGCTAGCTAGCTAGCCATCTTGCTGCCTCCCCGCTAGTACAGAATTGAAGGCGGGGATTGGCTAGCAAACAGATCATCTAGCTTTCCTGCTAGCTAGCTGTCCAGCTAGCTATCTGCCTAGTTAGTTAGCTATCTAGCTAGCTAGCTGGCGAGCTACTGGGCAGCTAGCTAGCTAGCTAGCCTACAAGGCCCAAAGCTGGCAGTTACGGCGTCGCTGTCTTTTCTTTTGCAGCTCGCGTTTTTTTTTTCATAGGCGGACTACCGCCCTGGTTAGCTAGCTAGCTAGCTAGCCAGCTAACCAGTTAGTCAGCTAGCTAGCTGTCTCTGGCTAGCAGCTAGCCGGTTGCCGCTTCTGCTCTAGTTGGAGGGCCAGCTAGCCCGCTAGCTACGAACTCAGTGGAGGTGAGGGCGGCTAGCTAGGTAGCTAGCTAGCTAGTCAGGTAGCTAGCTAGCTAGCTAGCTACCTAGCTGCCTGACTACTCCGGGTCTCTAGAATGTGTTTGGATCGATCGTCTCCTTGTTCTCATTCGCTGTGCATAGGTTCCTGCTGCTGCTGCTGCTGCTGCTGCTGCTGCTGCTGCTCTTCCTGCTTCTTTTGCTGCTGTCAATGGGGAACTAAGATAGTGGCTAGCCATTTATTTGTATGTAGTGCATTGTAGCTAGCTTAGCTCGCTGCAGCACAGCTAGTTAGCCCCTAGCTGCCCCTATCTGTTGGGGTTGAGTAGTAGCTGGATACAGCAGCAGCAGCAGCAGAAGCAACACAGCAGCAGCAGCAGCAGCATGAATGAGTGTTAGGAGTTAGGGATTCAAAGCTTTGGAGGATTGCTGCGAGGCTTTCGCGCTAAGCAGCACAGCCCTTCTAGGGTTTAGGGTTTAGGTTTTAGGGTTTAGGGTTTGGAATTGGGTTGGGCTAATCGCCAATGCGCCTTGACCACGGAAGCAGCTAGCTAGCCAACTTGCTAGGTCGATGGCTTGGCGGATGGCTAGCTAGCTAACTGGCTAGCTAGAACCAGCATCAGGTTGAGGCAGCAGCAGCAGCAGGAGCCACCTGCATGTGAGTAGTAGGATGGGAATAGTAGGTTATTACCCCCCTGACTCGGGGCTGACGACTCAGGGTTTAGGGCTTAGGGTTTGCTGTGTTGTTGTTTGTAAGAAATCGTGTATCAAGTGTTCAGATCCTAGTATTTACAAAGGCTTATTCAGCGTTGAGGGTTTAGGGTTTAGGGTTTAGGGTTTATTAGGGTTTAGTCTGGTTCAGTGTCTAGCGTTTCCTGTGTTGCACTCTGCTGAATAGTAAGAAACCGTGTATCAATAGTACAGACTTTAGAGCTTAAAAGGGTTTAGATTGCCTTATTTAGGGTTTAGGGTTTAGGGTCTATTAAGGTTTAGTCGGGTTCCCTGTCTAGGGTTTCCTGTCTAGGGTTTCCTGTGTTGCAGTTTGCTGAATAGTAAGAAATCGTGTATCAATAGTACCGGTTGTAACAAAGGTTTATTAGTGTTTATTTAGGGTTTATTAGTGTTTATTAGGGTTTATTAGGGTTTAATCTGGTTCGGTGTCTAGGGTTTCCTGTGTTGCAGTTTGCTGAATAGTAAGAAATCGTGTATCAATAGTACCGATTCTAAGAGTAACAAGGGTTTATTTAGGGTTTATTAGTGTTTATTAGTGTTTATTAGGGTTTATTAGTGTTTATTAGGGTTTATTAGGGTTTAATCTGGTTCGGTGTCTAGGGTTTCCTGTGTTGCAGTTTGCTGAATAGTAAGAAATCGTGTATCAATTGTTGGCTGAAATTCGTCATTAATTTTTTGAATTGTTAAATCAAAAATTGGAGGAAAACTTCGCATAAAATGCCAAGGAGAAGAGATAAAAAAATTTAATGTTTTTTTATCTAAATTATTTCCTCCTATACCTAATGCTTGTAAGGTACTGCAACACATAAATAATTATAACACCAACAACAGCAGCAGCAACAGAAATAACATGAAGAGTAGCAGCAGCAACCACAGAAACACCAAAAATAATAATACCCCAAACCACCAGAACCTCAGTCACAAACCCTAAACCCTAAACCCTAAACCCTAAACCCTAAACCCTAAACCCTAAACCCTTGAAAATAGTGTTTTTTTTTTTTTTTTGTTTACCAATTGAGTGCGAGTGCATCCGCGAGTCTTTTGAATCCTTTTTCTTTTATACCATTAGTATTTAATAATAATACTTGTAATGTTGTATTACTCTCTAATCCAGGACAAAGAGAAAAAACACCATAATCATTTAATTTATTATAACTTAAATCTAAAAATTCAAGAGGAGTACTAGCAGATAATACTTGGCTTAATGCTGCTGCACCACGCCAACTGAGCAGCACAAACATACAAATATATATATATATATATATATATATATATATATA